ATGACTGTTTGTCCTTGGGTAAGTCTCCTCCTCTCTCTGAAATAAGGACTGTTGACTCTATGGCATTCAAACTTCCTTCCAGCTCTGAAAGTTCATGACCATATCGCTCTTGCAAAAGGTCACTGTCCTTTTTCCAAGGTTGCCTTCATGGTCAGGAAATTTTAGGACCAAATACCAGTGGATCATGATGACAAAATGCTCTTGGCTACCTGCTGGAGTGGTCATTAACCACAGAGGAGCAGAAAGGGGCAAACAAGTTGCATCATGGGCAGGGGTCTCTGTGGCATTGACCGGCTCCCAAGGCTACTGCTTAGAAGTCTCTTTTGCAAGATTCCAAGCCTCAATCTGGATTTGAACTTGGGACTTATGGGACAATCGAGGGGCAGCATACACACTGATTAGCTAAGGACATTTGCTGCTCAACACAAATAATTTTACTGTTAACATTTAAGCACAAAGCTGTGGATAAGTGGCTAAAATCCTTTTTGTGGAGAGGGAAAATAGAGTTAAAAATGTTATAAGCCAACAAAGCCTCGATTCAACACATTGAAGAACATATTCTCTTTTCTGAGGGATGTCCTAATCCCCATGCTCGTCACTTCTCATTGAGGCCTTTGTGGGAAGTTAGTCAAGTCTGCTTAGATTTGCATGTGATTTTCATATTGGTCCCCAACCCCAATCTCATGTCAGTGAGTAATGGCAGGATTGTTTCTGTTCTGGTTCTTGGTCATTTAGCAAGAATGCCGAGTGCCTTGGCCTCTGTCAGGCAAAGCCATCACCAAGGAAAGCAAGGCCCTTCACCATCACTGCCTCTCCAGCCTGGGAGCGAGGAGCCCTCCTGACTCTGACGCCCTTCAGATGCCTTTCAAAAAGCCACCAAAGACACCAGGGCAGTGCTGCTGTGTGCACTCTGAGCAAAGTAGCTACGAAAGAAATGTCTGGGGCAGGTGAGGACATCTGAGTCTGGACTGGGCACACGTGGCACTAGAAATTCACAACTATTTTAGGTGAGCTGCATGGGGGTCATGCTGCCTCCCCTTCTTGCATATCCTTAGTTATAGAAACAGGAACTCATGATCAATGAGCAGGTATCATCTCTTTTGACTATTCAGCAAGAATGGGCAGTGTGTTACACCAAATACATGGCGGTTTCATAAAAATGACTCATGCCCTTTGATTCCCTAAAACTTGATTGAAGCCAACTGTGTACCCCAGCTCCTCGTCCGGCCCAATCCCTGCAGCTGCCAGTGGGACTTGTAAGCAGACCCAGGGCTCTGCAGTAATGCTCTCTGAAAAAGCATTGTTGCTTTCATAAGTCACTTTTCTCTCCTAGGGCTAAGTTCACCACAGTGCACACATATACCAGCTTAGACCAGAAGGGACCAAGCAGCCACCTTGCTCTAGAAAATGTGGCCCCCATCTACTCAGAGAGTCATGAAGTCAAGTTAAAGGATCATCCTACCAAGGGTAAGACCTCGCTCTACATGCAAGGATGTGATGTTCCCAAGGCAACATGATCGTTCAGGCAGTATGACACAGTGGACTAACTTCGGACCTCAGAGTCTAACAGGATTGGCATGCTAGCTCCAACAGTTGTGCGTAGGAGCCCATAAGCTAATGCCTTTAACTATCTGAGCCACAATCCCCTCAATTACAAGAAAAATAAATTAAAACCATCTGCTTCAAATGGCTAAGATAATCAACATGGTACCTGCAAATAATTGTAAGCAGCCACCTAGTCCTGTACCCTGAGCAAAAGCCTCTCAGGTCAGCCATCTAGGGGTTAAGAAAGCCAGCTTGAGTGCAATCAGGGGTGGAAATTTTTTATTTCTCAACAAAGGTTCTGTCATTTCAGCCCAGCTATGCCTACCCCCCAGCTCCTCGCCCAGCCCAATCCCCGCAGCTGCCAGTGGGACTAGTAAACAGAGCCAGGGCTCCACAGTAATGCTCTTTGGAAAAGCATTGTGCTTTCATAAGTCACTTTTCTCTCCTCGGGCTAAGTTCACATGAATTAGATTGCAAGGCACTTTATGCAAAACACCTGACCTTCACTGGCTCTGATTTGCATTGTCATCGTTTCTTTATTCTTCTAAAGTGCCTTCGTTTTGCATAATGTTATTCAGGCTCTGCAGTTAGCACTATCTCATTTCTCTAATTATAACCATTTTAAGCAAAGCTGTAGATAACCTTCAGGAACCCGTGCCCGTGTGATATTTCATTCACAAGGAAGAAGCAATGGAACCGGACTTAAAAGGAAATAAAACTAAAAAAGCTGCTCATTTAGGGTGGAAATTTAAAACTCTAACACTAGATTTTCCTTCCCTTTTTGGCAATTAAGAGAGGACTGTCTGTGTCCCCCATGAAGATTTCTGCACACAGGCAATGCTTATTGATGCAGGGACACTCATCTAAGCAGGACACTGGACATCAACCAGGGCCACTGATGTCTCATTTGAAGTCTCTCTTTCAACTGTTCCCCAGGGGACCCACCCCACTGCAGGAATGACATCCCAGGCCAAGGTCTGGAACCACTTAAAGAGCCAGTGTCTATAAGAGACATGACATATGACATCTCTATCTGCCATTTATGAGTCTAAATGAGATTCTGATCCTTCCTCCCAACTTAAAGTTGGTTGGAAAAGACCCAGAAAGAGATTCTGAGAGATGGGAGTGGAGACGGGAGTGCGGCGATGACTCCAAACCGAATGCCAGCCCTTTCACTCTTTTGCAAAGACCCCTGGTTAGCACGTGGGTGTGCTAAACAGTAGAAAGGAACAACCATTTTTCATACTAATTAAATGCCTACTATTGCCCAGACATCTAGCTACAGGCCCTCGTTACCTCTCTGGGGTCCTGCCATCAGGATAAGGATATGGACTCACCTCCCATCTCAGTGTCCTGGCCTCCTAAATGTCTCCATACTTGGCCCCTAGCTCTTCTTTCTTGCCCTGCATATTCTCTGCAGACTTGCTCAGTCTCCTTGAACATGGGCCTCCCTGTCACTGACTGGCTGCTAACCCTTTTATTCTGTCTTAAATGAGCTTACTAAGTCACTCTATTTATTGCAACTTAATAACCAGTCAAGGTCCATTTTATATTTTGCCTTTTTTTTTTCCAGTTACAGTTTACTTTTACACCCCCCACACTGAGGATCAATCCCAGGGCATGTGCCTTGACTGGGATTGGAATCGTGACCTCCTGCTTCATAGGTCGACGCTCAACCACTGAGCCACGCCGGCAAGGCCACTTTCAATTATTTTGTGTTGGTTTTCAGGTGGATGGCATAGTGGTGAGGCAGTCATACTGTGCTTTACAAAGGGTTCTCCTTGGTGTTTCCAATCTCCACCTGCACCATAATGGTTATTACAGTATTACTGACTATATTCCCTATGCTGTCCTTTACTTCCCCATGACTATGCTGTAACTACCAATTAGTACTTCTTAATCCCTTCACCAAAGTTCCTTTTAGACACTCCGTCTTTGTGAGTCATTCTTAGTGGCTGTCTTTCCTGCAGCCTGGTAACACCCTGTTTTCTCACCTACACAACTCCTCCTCCAGCTGTGAGGGTCCTTTGACCCTCCAGTCCAGTTTAGGTTAGGTATTCTTTCTGGGCTAGCTCATCGTTTTAGAGAAGAACCTCCTCCTGTATCTGGCTCTGTCCTTCCTATGAAGACTCCACTGGGAGAGAAAGACAACTGGCTTCTCTCTCAGTTCCTCGCTCATTTCACCCCATGGAAGGAAGAGTGAGGGGTGGGATTCCGGGTTTGGGAGGAGGAGCTGAGGAAACATGTCATGAAGGCCTCGTTTGTTCTCTCCCTCCCCGTTCTTCTACCCCTGGAAGCTTCACTGCCTGAGGATGCTTGCATTCTGGCCTGTTCTCTGCCAGGTGGTAAGAGCTTCGTTCTATGGGGGAAGCTTCGCTGTCCCATTAGACCAATGTGGGTGCGTTAAGTTCAGCTCTGGCCTGAAGTGTTCTTAGTGAGGCCTCTGGGTGACAGATCTGGTACCACATCCTTCAATCAGTTGTTTTTTTTTTTAATATATTGTTATTGATTTCAGAGATAGAAACATCAATGATGGGAGGGAACCATTGATCAGCTGCCTCCTGCACACCCCACACTGGGTATCTAGCCCACAAGCCGTCATGTGTCCTGACTGGGAATTGACACATGACCTCCTGGTTCATAGGTTGAACACGCAACCACTGAGCCAAGCTGACCAGGCCCTTCAATACAGTTTTTATCACAAATAGCACCCACCTGTTGCTGTGTGTTTCTCCCCTGTGACTTTCAACGGACTCAGAACTAGAAATAGCGAAAGGCCGTGCTTCACGCCTCCTTCAGGATGGTTTTCAGTATAGTCAGAACCAGTTTCTTTCTGTCTCTTCTCCTTCGCCTGTAAATTCCCAGAAGACAAGGGCCATATTCTTTTCCATGTTTGTATTTTGAGTTTATCTCATTATCTGGTTCAGTATCTTCGGTGAAGGGATAGATGAATGGAACTTTTAATACCACATGCATGGCTCATCATATGTCTCGAGACAGAATTGTGTGCGTAAATAATGAAGGATGCATTCTTGTATAATGAATGGTGCGTACTGGAGTGCTCTGTGTAACTAGCTCTGACTCACTTGCACAAACTGCCCCTCACAATGGTGCTGCAAGCCTGGGGTTCGGGAGCACTTTCCTCACTGCTTGGATTTTCCAATGCTGAGGACGTTGCTAAGGGATTAGCATTTCCAGTGTTCTGGCCTGGGTGGTGCTGAGCTGTTCAGCCCTATCACCCAGAGCTGAATCATCCACGAAGCACAGCATCAGAGCGAGGTGATAGCATCCCGTTCGCCCATGATCTTCTCTGTATGATTTTCCACTCTTCCCTTTATAAACCAATTCTGGCCCTTGACGTATGATACTTTAAACCATAACAGCATCTTCCTCAGCCGTCCTTATCGCAAATGAGCTGACCCAGCATCCACGAAGCCCAGGATGGAGAAAGAAAACCAATTATTTTTTTCTGAATAGTTTTTCCTTTGAATTCTTATGCTCCTTCCCAGAAATGTAGTTGTGTTATTTTTATCCTGAATTAGGTGGGTCTCTTTCCAGGAGACTTCCTTTCTGAAAGCAGTGGGAAATACGTCAGAATGCATCCTCAATTTCGACACATTAAAAATCATTTTTATTTATTTACTTATTTTAACCCTCACCCAATGATATGTTTGTTTTTTTAAATATATTTTATTGACTTTTTACAGAGAGGAAGGGAGAGGGATAGAGAGCTAAAAACGTGGATGAGAGGGAAACATTGACCAGCTGCCTCGTGCACACCTCCTACTGGGGATGTGCCCGCAACCAATGTACATGCCGTTGACCAGAATGGAACCTGGGACCTTTCAGTCCACAGACTGATGCTCTATCCACTGAGCCAAACCGGTTTCGGCTGTTTTTTTGGTTTTGTTTTTGTTTTGTTTTTTGCTTTTTTAGACAGAGAGGAAGGAAGAGAGAAAGAAAGAGTGACATCTATCAGTTGCCTCCTGTGTCCATACCACCTGGGGATTGAACCCACAACCTGGGTATGTGCTCTGACCAGGAATCAAACCTGTAACCTTTTCGGTGGGTAGAACGACATTCCCACCAACTGAGCCCTCCGGCCAGGAGAAAAACATTTTATTTATTAATTAGCCATCTCTAGTCTGGGTTGATATTTTCACAAAAGAAGCAGATACTAATTTGAAGATGATGCTTTACTAGGGTGCTGGTCTCAGAACCCTAGTGTCCACACGAGGGCACTCTTGTGACTAATCCCTTACCAGGGTGCCGTTCTCAGAATGTCCACACGATGGCACTATTGCTGTTTCTGAGAAATAATGTGAGAGGAGCAAGAGAGATTCTAATGGCCAAAGAAGTTCTTGGCACAAAATGATTTGTGAGCCATTATTGAGAAATGACCCGAGTTATATTTTTCAATGCACCTCTAAATTTTATACATGCTTCTATATTCACATACTCTGGCCATTCAAATAATTTGTAATATAAGGAGGGATGTGGTGCATAAACATTCACCAAAAAGTTTTTACAGGGAGAAGAGAGCAACCTACAACAAAAGGCCATCATCATGATAGGTGTTCCTACAGGAGACATAAATTCAAACCTGCTTTTACAGGAAGACTAGCCTCATGCTTAAGGAGTTAAAAAAAAACTGGCTTGAAATAATAACAACATCTACTTTATATGGTTGCTCTATCAATTAAATAAGAATATTTATTAACCCAGAAATTGACCCAAGCCATTATGTTCAATTAATATTTGACAAAGGAGGCAAGAGCATACAATGGAGTCAAGACAGTGTCTTCAATAAATGGTGTTGGGAAAATTGGACAGGTATATGCAAAAAAATTAAAGTAGACCACCAATTTACACTATACACAAAATTAAACTCCAAATGGATAAAAGACTTAAAATGTAAGATTGGAAATCATAAAAATCTTAAGAGAATCCATAGGCAGCAAAATATCAGACATATCTCACAGCAATATTTTTATGGATACATCTCCTAGGACAATGGAAACTAAGGAGAAAATAAACATATGGGACTACATCAAAATACAAAGCTTCTACATAGCAAAAGAAACCATCAACAAAACAACAAGAGAGCCCACTACATGGGAGAATATATTTGCCAATGTTACATTCCATAAGGGTTTAATTTCCAAAATTTAAAGGGAATTCATACAACTTAACAAAAAGAAGATAAACAATCCAATCAAAGAATGGGCAAAAAACCTAAATAGACACTTTTTGAAGGTAGACATACAAAAGGACAAGAGACATATGAAAAAATGCTCAAAGTCACTAATTATTCAAGAGATGCAAATCAAAATGACAATGAGGTACCATCTCACACTGTCAGAATGGCTATCATCAACAAACATCACATGCTGGCAAGAGAAAAAGGAACCCTCTTGAACTGCTCATCAATCAGAAGGAATATATGCACCACTATGTTCACAGCAGTGTAATTTACCATAGCTAAGATTTGAAAACAGCCTAAGTGCCCATCAGCAGATGAGTGGATTAGAAAACTGTGGTACATTTACACAATGGAATACTATGCTACTTTAAAAAAGAAAGAACTCTTACCATTTGCAACAGCATGGACCTGGAGAGCATTGTGCTAAGGAAAATAATCAGTCTGGAAAATAACACATATGATCTCATTCATTTATGGAATATAATGAACAACATAAACTGATGAACAAAAATAGATTCAGTCATAGCCTGGTTTGGCTCAATGGATGGAGCGTCCACCTGCGGACTGAAGGGTCCCAGGTTCGATATTTTGGTTGCAGGCACATCCCCAGTAGAGGGTGTGCAGGAGGCAGCTGATCAATGTTTCTCTCTCATTGATGTTTCTAACTCTCTATCCCTCTCCCTTCCTCTCTGTAAAAAATCAAATATATATATATATATATATATATATATATATATATATATATATATATATATATCCAAAGACATGGAAGCATCAAAGGGACCATCAAATATCACGGGGAAGGCAAGGGAGGGTAGGGCAGGGAATAAGGAGGGTAGGGAAATGGGAGTAAGAGATCAACCAAAGAACTTGTATGCATGCATATTAGCATAAACAATGGACACAGACAAAGGGTGGGGTGAAGATCTGTGCTGGGGGACAGGAGTAGGTGGGGAGAGGTCAATAGGGAAAAAACGAGAAATATGCAGTACTTTTTTTTTTTTAAGAAGTTATTTATAGGCTAAGCACAGTGGTTGGTGGTCCAAAAAGCCTATTGGTTGTAGTCATTGATGTTGTCCTTGACAATGATGTTATTTCCATCAGTGATTAAATCAGGTAGGGTGTACACAAGTCAGGAGAGTTTGGAAAACGATACGCCAGGAATGCACTGATGGGCCCACTGAATGGATTCTCCTTCTTCATGCCCTTATCCTGTAACTTGAAGCCCCTTCCCCACCTCTGGCTTTGGACAAAGAGTGCATTTTGCTCTGCCCATTAGGATGTTAGCAAACATGCCACAGGTAGAGGATTAGAAATCCCTTAAGTATCTCTACTTATCTTGCATGGTTGAGTTTTCTTGAACATGAAATTCTAGCAGCTCCATGGAAGCAAGCCTAGAGTAGCCTGCTGGAGGCTGAGAGATTGGGCAGAGATGAGTTGTCACAGCCAAAGCCTTCTTGGACCAGTCCACACTCTAACATGCGATATCGAAGCTCAGCCAAGGTCAGCAAAGCTGTCACCTAACTCAGCTGACCACAAAAGCATAAGTGAGCCCAGTCACGATTAACCAAGCTCAGTCCAGATCAACTAGAGTTTAAAACTAAATTTAATCCTAGTTATAATGACCCTGGGTTTTATTACCAAAAAATTATAGGCCTCGGACATTGACTACCTACCATGACCTCTCCAGTTAGAAATTTGGGATCAGAACACCCTAAAGGTTTACTAAGATCAAATACCTGGAGATGATGATTCTCATTGTAACAGTAATAACTGGAAATGGTGGCTCTATTACTATGGTTCAGACAGAAATGTGGTATTTAGAGAGAGATGCACAGACTCAGACAGCTTTAAGGGATTGATGGAAACCACCTGGTGTCCAGACCCCAGAGTGCCATAAAAAGTTCCAGCAAAGCAGTCTTAAAAATAGTTTGCAGGGTCGAACACTATTCTCGTACACTTATGTAAATAATCAGGCCAACTTCAATGCAAACACATTAGTTTTACTGTGATTTTTCTCTCTATAATTACCCCACATCTTTGATAAAATGTGGGGTAATGATAGAGAAAAAATCATGTTTGCACCTTTGAATATATTAAATTCTAATCATGTTTATTCTCTTTGAGGTTTTGCTGTATACCTGTAAACTAGGTTAGATCCTCAATTGTAATTTCTTCAAATATCTGACTTTAATTCTGCCAATGAACATGTCCAATTTTCTCCCACTCTTCGATGTGGAATCGTTAAGAACAAAGGATGTCCTTGAATCTCCTTAGAAGGGACTCTACCAGGTCCTACTCAGTACCCAGATGGCAGCCAAACTAGTAACTTAAACCTTGGATATACATCTCACAGTGAAAAAAAGGCTCCATCTGCCATCTGGTTCTGTTCAAATTAAATGGACTAGGAAGAAAGTAACCAGCACCAAGACAGACGGCTTCTTTCTGGGTCACCACTTCAAGACTTCATACTTTAACATGAACTCTCTTTTTTTTTTAATTTTCTGTTACTCTTGGATTGGCCTGGAAATGTAATACCACCACTTATATCATTGCCAAAGGGGGCAAACTCTCAAATTCAGAACAACTTATTTCAGGATAGGAGGAAATCTAACGGGCCCCTTGCTTGAGTGGGCAAATGCGGCAATCCCTGCAGCTGAAAACATTAAGTGCCACCTTAGTGGAGTGGTCTGTGCCGGATAGGATTTATCTTTGTCTGGCGCTTACTGGGATTCAATGGTAATGGGCACGACCACTTAGGACTGGGTAATAAACCCAGCGAAGAAACGAGGGCCTGACAGACAGGACAGTTCTTAGGAATAGCCTGGGCAGGGGCCACTCAGGATATTCCACCAGTGGCTGGCACTAAGCTGCTGTCATTGCACACCCATAGGATGAAACAAGAAGGCCGACGTTGGGTGGGTTACGTATTTGGATTCTGGAGGATACGTATACCACCTTAGGGAATGTTGCTAACTCCTACCTATAAGACTACCTACACATCTACACAGACATTTTAACATTTCCTAAACTGGAACCTGCTGACACACAAGATACCAAACTCATTTTGTTGTCAGTCTAGTCCATTTCAGTCAATGACATCAGCAGCTGCTCAGATGAAAAGGCTTGCAGTCATTCTTATTTTTTACACTTTCTCACAATGCTAATAAGCATATCTTATCAGTTCTTCCTTTTAAATATGAAACTTTTCATTATCCTTCTTTTCTAAGCTCCTATTGTCTTTCTCTAAGAGAAAAAGAGATCTGTAATTACCTCCTAACTTATCTACTTGCTTCTACTTTGCCAACTTTACTCTTTATTATATTGGAACAGCTACAAACATTTTTCAAACATGAAAATCAGGTATGTCATGCTCCCATTGAAAGTATAAACAGCTATCTATAAATAAAACATCAATAAACAGGTCCTCATTATGTTCAAAATAAAATATCAATGTTCTTACAAGACCTACAAGTGCACATAATATAAACTGACCTCCACTCACTTCTCTGACTGTATTTCCTATCACCCCCTTCCCTTTCTCCATCTCATTCCACTGGTTGAGAATCTACAAATGGCCTTTATTTATTTATTTTTTTTCTGTAGCCAAGCTTTGCCCTACCTTAGAGCATTCATACTTGCTGCGCTTGTCTGGAATTTTTCTCACACTGATAAAATGTATGTTTGCTCCTTCATTCCAGACTCTGCCCAAATGGACCTTTCTCAGCGAAGCTGTTTGTATGACCATAGCTAATTTAGGTTCCCAGCCCTTACCCTCTTTCTGCTTAGCTATCTTTATTCTATCTGTAGCGTGTTTCCCTACAGGAAATTCTATTATTAACATATTTGCTCACTTGAGTCCACTAGATCAAGGATAATAACAGGCCCAGTTATATAGTACACATTCAAAAAACCTTCTTTGAATGAATGAATGAATGGAGGATCACTACTATCTGTGTATAAGCAAGCAACTACTCGATAGAACTGAGAATTTAGAGATAGAATGTTGATTTTTCACCATACTTATAGAACAACATCCATAAAAAGCTAATACTCATGAATGATACACAACATTTGAAGATGAACTTTTGATTTCAATCCTTACCTTTCCATTCTGTTGTACACAGAGATATTACACTCAGTGAAACTTTAGTATTCTTCACTGGAGTCCACATGATTCTTGGAAATAAAAATAGCAGCACAGCACCTGAAACATAGTAACCACTCTATAAATAACTATTACGTCAATACATGTTGGAATATTTGTTCTCATCTTAGTCAGCTGATGATGCATGGATCCTTGATTTTTAAATAAAATTAGTTTCCCAGTATCATTCCAGAATATGCTATTGATTACCTGTAAACTTGATATTAGAACTTTGTATTTTCCCCTCAACTTTTAAAAAATATATATTTTTATTGATTTCTGAGAGAAAGGAGATAGAAACTTCGATGATGACAGAGAATCATTGATTGGCTGCCTCCTGCATGCCTCCCACTGGGGATCAAGTCTGCAACACAGGCATGTGCCCTTGACCAGAATCAAACGGGGACCCTTAAGTCTACAGGCCAATGCTCTCTCAAATGAGCCAAACCAACTAAGGCTCCCTCAACTTTTTGAAGGATTTTGTCATATGTGTAAATTACTAGGAAATTAATACTGCTCCCCAAAATGACAGATGATATTTAAAGTATTGTTGATTCTAAGTAAGCATTTGTAATATATGTTTTGAAGGAAAAAAATACTAATGCTTACCAACATTTACACGTGGTTTTAATTCGTGGACATTCTTTATGTAGCTCTAGAAAGAATTATAAAGTGTTTCATTTTATGATCTCAAGTTTTTGATAAAATATTTATATTTCATGAGGCTTTTGAATTTTGGACAATAAACTTTCATAAATACTCACTGTAATATAATAAACATTTAATGTCTTGTATGGAAAATTTAACTAAAAGTTAAAGCAAACTCAGAGTTTTCCCAATAGATATGAAAGAGTGGGTTCTGTCATACTCACTTTAAACCCACTACAGTCTATATCTCATAAAATAATATTAGTGAATTTACAGTCATTGTATGTGCTTGTGTTGATAGCATAAGCACTGCTAATTTTGTTAGCAATTCTAATAAAATCTGAAATTAAATATATCATAGTGTACGACACCTCACAAAAGGTCTACATTCACCACAAAAAACTGTTACAAAGCCGAACTATATTTTATTTTATTTATTATTTTTTAAAAAATATATTTTATTGATTTTTTTACAGAGAGGAAAAGAGAGGGATAGAGAGCTAGAAACATCAATGAGAGAGAAACATTGATCAGCTGCCTCCTGCACACCGCCCCACCAGGAATGTGCCCGCAACCAAGGTACATGCCCTTGACCCGAATTGAACCTGGGACTCTCGAGTCCACAGGCTGACGCTCTATCCACTGAGCCAAACAGGTTTCGGCCGAACTATATTTTAATGATCAAGGGGAGTTAGTTTTAATGAATTTCGCTGAAGAAAGCCCTTCACATCCTCTAGTATTATTATATACTCCAGTAACCCAGCTCCAGTAGAATTATTCCCTGGGGATCTGCTGGAAAGGCTATAAATGGTTCATGATCTTACACAGATGCCTAATGTACAACAAGAGATTAATTTTAAAGTAAAAAGAGACCATTAATTGGTTACATTGGTAACAAGTGGTATGCTGTGTCATGTTTCTCAAGTGCACACAAGAATTTAAAGATTCCTATATATAATATTTTGGAGAATCCTTACATTTTAAAGGCCCTGTTTTGATAATATAAAATCAAGACATCAGGGAGATGCATGACATCTCGCTTACCCCGATACATTTAGATAAAATCTGGACCTAAATGGATGGCTCCTATATGTCATTAACCAACAGATGCAAGTGAAAAGTATGCGTGTGGAAAATAAACACAAGGAAATTTGTAGTGGTTTGTGTGATTAACTCAAACTCATGTATAACTTGGGACTTCTGATATCCAATTTTCAATTCAGAAATCTGGATTACATTTAGTTCTAACTCTGTGAAATAAACATATAGTATTATTTAAAAAAACTGACAATTTATAATTAAAGCACATAAGATATTAAAATTTGCTATTCTATAATCTGTTGTTCAAATTCTGTGTTCAGACATTCTTTGGTTGCTCAGCGTTCTCATCTGGAATATGAGAGAGATGAGGACAGTGAAAGATTCCTACATGAGATACTGAATCAATGCCTATGTCATCTTGGAAACCAAAAGGTAAAAGATCAGCTTCTGAAGGTATTTCATCAATCTTACTGAGCATATTAAATGTGCATTTAAACAAAACTGTTTTAATTACCGCTTAAATGCATTCAGAATACCAAAGACAAAGATTGAAGAATTTTATCTCCCTTAGCTTGATTTTATTATACTTAGCACATTGCTTAAAATGGGATATCTAAAAAAAATAAAATAAAAATTACCCACTTAGAAAGACTTTGTTCTCTCTTCATGACAGAAGAGGCCAGAAAGAAAGACAATGGGTTGGTTTCTGTAGTAGAGAGCCTTAAAGAAATCTTAATCTCAGAAGTCATCTTACTCCATGTTGTGGAGCGAATGCGAGTGAACCACCACTGAAGTCCAGACCAAATTAAAATTTAGGGAGTCTTTATTAGCCCGCAGGCAACTGCTCTGCCTTTCTCCACGCAGGGAGTCCAGAGAGCAGCTCTGACCCTTCCTGCAGGACCACTTTTAAGCACATTAACCACATCCTGTTTTTCAGAGAGGGCAACCCAAGACAAAACAGTTTTTCCCAAGTAATGTGAGGGTCTTACAATTGACGGCCATGTTATCCTGTTCTTCTGTGAAAGAAGGCCTACGTGGGAAGAGACCGTATCTCAAGGCCTGGCCTGGTGTCAGCACTGGCAACTCTATCTGGGGCATAGTCCATAGCCATCTCCAACTGGAATGGGCAAGGCCAAGTCGGCTGGGAGGAAGCATGTTTCAAAAATTCTCTCTCTTAACACTCCAAAACACTGGCCTGATCCGCTCCAGGTCGCCATCGATCACATTGTCAGGATAAACCATCTAGACAGCTGGGACACATTGGCTCCAGAACTCTGGGATGCCACACACTCTGACGGGACAGAACACTCAAGGAGCTGTTTATCGCTGCATGGGAGCCAGCCAAGGTGCAGTGATAAACACAGGCCTTCCTGAGAATGTGCCTTCCCACACAAACACCCTCAAGTGTAAGAAGGGCATAATGATCACTGGCTCAAAAAAAAATCAAGATAAAGACTGAGGTCAGTCTTTTCGATAAAGCACCGGGACAGCAGCGGTGTGAGCCAAGGGTAAGGGAAATAGAAGATGCATAGTAAAGGGTCGAGAGGATGGCTATCTGATGTGACACGAGTCCAGCTGCAGTGGCAGGAATTACACTTGATCTAGCTCACCTTCTCCTTGTAGGTTTCCCATGAAAAGAAACTTACTTGAGTCTCCACAGAAGTTTCCCCAAACAGGATGGACTTACTCTTCAAAGCATTTGATTTTAATAATGGACTGTGGGGACCTATGACGAATAGTCATTAGCACTGCTTTGGACAAAGGTGCACATCTCCAACTGACGAATGCTCATTCTTAGCAGGTTTATAGCCGATGTCTAAGAAATCTGTCAGAAGGCGAAGTGGAGCTTCCGGGGACAGCCACAGTTTAAGTGACAATGGCCTGATCCCTTGCCTCCTTTCGAACAACTCAGAAGACCGTTTTATTTTCAGAGCCCTTTATACAATCCACTGAGGCAAGTTCATCGCACTTCAACTTCTAATTCTGCTTCCCTCACTCTTTTTCTGTGTTTGCCCTTGTTCCCCCACCTCCAGAGAGAAACCTAACAACTGTGAAAATTTATCTGTTTCCTAGAAAACAGAGAGGCAGGACACCTGCAATCAGATGACCAGATACAATACGCATTTCAGATTGAGATCTTGAGGAATATCAAAATAAACAACCATTTCATGTTTAGACTGAGGATTTATGGGGGAATGGATCTGATTAAAGAAAAGAAAAACGTTTCGAGGTTTGACCTGACATTTAAAAGCAATCTGAAAAATAAATAAATGAATGAATGAATAAATAAATAAATGCAATCTAAAATTTTTTCAATGAAAATAATTCCACGAATTTTCCTTTGCTTTTACAGGTACTATGGAAGACGTGAAAGACAAAATGCATCCATGTCTCCAAACTTTTTCACAGGTCTCGAAATGGTCATTATATTGATCAATGTCAAAAGTAAGTATCTAACTCAGCAGGCATAAGACTAACAGGCCAGAAACACTCTCATTGATAATGATGAATGCTTAGCTATGTTTAAAATCATAAAACCAAGAGAAATCTGTAGTGAAATCATTTTGGCTCTAGCATATTTATTACTTTCAATGCATTTTTTACCTATCCATCTCAGCATTTAAGAAAGAAAATTTATTTGGTGAAATAATTGTTGGGGATTCCTCATAAGCTCTCCACACTCTGCCCCGCTGGACCTAGAAAATGTAGTATGTCAACTTCATGAGGCGTTTGGCCAGTTACTATGCTAATTTAGATGCTTTGCCAAAAGCAGGAAAACATGAACAGTATAACTTTAAAAATGGCAACTGAGAGACTCCTGAAAGGAGAATCCACTGAGAAATGGTCTTTTCACAGGGAGGGAAACTGTCTTCTCCCCACACTATAAATTAGCATTGTTACTGTTCTTACAGATTTGGCTACCAAAGTGGTTACTCACCTCCATGATGCCTTTCCAGATGGTGCAGAGGTGACCTGCGGGTAAAATCTCAAGAATCAAGACCATTGCTTGTTACTAGTCATCAAACAATGTTTTATATTGTGATTATTGTTTGGAAACTGTTTGAGGGAGGATGTAGGTCAGAGGAGAGAAGATAAAAACTGGAGCTGATTTTTATAGTGTTTGACTCTTTGCAGAGTGGGCAACTGACTCATTTTCTTCATTCAAGAGTAATACAGAAATGAGGAAGGCACTGGGCTTAATTCTTTGCTTCAAAGGGACCAAGAAAGAGAGCAGAAGAGAAAGATGTGTAGGTCAGGTAAACAATGTTAGTAACGGCACATGGTGGTAGTGACAAAGGTCACAAGTTGATGTCTAGACTGTTCAATAAAGCAAAAGGTACATGTCAGAAATGAGGACACTGGAATAGGATGGTGATATAAGCTTTTGCTCCTAGCAATTCATCATCTGGAGATCCATTTTCTTTGGTGGATCCCACAATTTGCACCTCTCATAATGGAAGTCAGAGTGATTTTCATGGTCAGAGTGCAGGCTAGGCTGTGTAACAAGACTAGAACACAATGTCTCAAAAGAGAACTTTATTTCATTCTTATGTAAGAACAGCTGTCCCACCCATGAGCTTTGACCACTTACCTCTGGCAGGAAGTTTGGGCAAGTGGATTGGTCTTTAAATACATGACCTTAAAGATGAACCTCATACTTCACATATTTCACTGGCCCTCGCCAATTCCTAGCTGGAAGGGAGGCTGAGATATGTAGTCTCTGGTTAAATGGACTGTGCTGACTGAATTCAAAAGAAAAGAATAGGTCCCGAAGGACCGTTAGCAACAGTTGCTACAAGGATGTGTCCTCTAACTATGCAGGTACATATAAGATGACCGAGGGTTAGCCAATGAGATCAGTTCCACTGGGTGCTTTGGACTAGGTCATAGCTGACAGCAGCATCTTCCTCGTATTCTACCTGGGTGTGTCCTAAGTAGTAGGTGCCTTCCTGCTTGAGTGTACTTGCTTCCTGCCACATTCTAACAATGGTTCCTCTTGGGTAGCTCCCCAGAAGTGCAACAGCTTTCAGAACAGCATGCATAATATTTCATATATCAGCTGAAATACAGGATTTACTGGGAAAGCTTATGAGCCAGAGTTCAACAAGAGAAGCCACTCTAAACCCCAGACTCCCCTTATTCCCCCAGGAGGCACACAGGGCAGGCTTTCCTGGCGAATGTGCCGTAATACTTCATTCTTAGGATTCTCTCTTCTTATAGGGTGATACGATTTTCTCGGTGGAGAAGTAAACAGACTGCATGTTAGAAGGCAAACGTAGCCCTGGCTGGTGAGCCTCACCCCATGCACTGAGTGGTCCTGGTTCAATTCCTGGTCAGGGCACATGCCTGGGTTATAGGCCTAATCCCTGGTAGGGGGGTGAGCAAGAGGCAGCACAGGTGTTTCTCTCCTTCTCTCTCCAACGTCAATAAAAACTTATTTTTTTAAAAAAGGCAGACTATATTTGGGGTGCCCACTTTTTAGAGGAATTCTCCAGGGAAACCAGTAGCCCAGCTCTTGGAATGTGAGGTTGTAACAATTTTAGCTCCTATGTTACAGGGAAGCTCAGATTGACTGCACTTCCCCCCAGTCACCACTCAATGATTGAGAGATCAGACAACTGCACGTAGGCTCTTGGGATCTCATTGGATGATTCGCTTCTCAGATCTATTGATAGCTCTCTGTGTTTCTGATTGATTTTATGAATCATTTGTCCACTCTTCTCTCTCCTTCCAGAGGAAATTAGTTTCTGTGGTATACAACCACGACAACTGACTAACAGACTATTTGTAACCCAGAGAAATTTAAAACTTAAACAAGCAATTGAATTATATATTTTGGGACTGGATCCCAAGTAAAGTAAGATATTATTGTTCCCATTTTATATATTAGGTGTATAATAGAAGCCCAGAGATAGTCACTATTTATTGGTAATTTTACCTAAAAACAATTATTAAATGGAAGTGGTTTAATGCAGACTGCCATGCCTTTGAAAGCACCTGGTACACATGTTCATTTGCAGTCTTAGTTATTACACGTGACCAATCTGTACTTAACATGATACTTTTACTGGTGTGGATATTACTACATATTTCAAATACCTGACATCTTGTATATATAACTATTAGATCTAGACAGTTTAAGCCTTCCAGGACAGTAAGAAATTGATCTCATACAGCTCAATCGGCGAATCGTCTGACAATACAGGGTCATAATGAATTATCTCAAGCTTAACCATTTTTCTTGCCATGGATTTCCATGCTCTACAAAACAGCAACCTGATGTATATTTACTATTTCCCTCAATGTCAATAAAATTAAGAAGAGTAACCGTATCTTATATGTGGTAAAGAGATCACCTGCCAGAAGGATTGCAGTTGATTTAACTTAGTAATCACTCCTTCAATCTACTGCTCTCTTTGGAAGCTACGGGCATACAGGTAACGAGGTGTCATTTGGGAGCATCTTGCAACTTCTCTGATGAGACACGTGAATGATAGCTCCATCTCCCATGTTGGTTTGAAGCACGACATCACAGCCGAGTATTCACTTTCCTCTTGCTATAATCAAAGAGAAATGTTAGCATAACTCAATTCTAGGACAAAAGACCCTAAAGAGGTGGTTGTAACCGATTCTAACTGTTAGATATTAAAAAAAAAACATGAATCAGAAAAACAATCAGGTAAACATTAGCCTCTTCAACTAATTTGCAAATGTGTAAGCACATTCACTGTTTGTACCAACTGATATGTGTGTGTGATCAATTAGTGGAGGAAGATCTAATTAATACTATGTAAAAGCAATATTTGAAGGAAAAATAACTGAAAATTCTCCAAGTGAAAAAGAAGATGAGCGTGTGGGTGAAATGTACATCCTGAGTTACAGAATTAATAAAGCAAATTTTATACTTAGACAAATCCGGTACAATTGCAGCATAGACTTATTAAAAGACTTAAAGTTGAGTATCTATGGTAATAAAAATGGGTTAAATGCTAATGGATTAAACCCATATATTTAACAAGTGTGTATTTGTATGTAAAATTAGAAAAAATCATACAGATAAGGTACTTGTAAGTACTTTCTAAAATGAAATAGTACAGTGAGTTAAAAATAAAGATATGCAAAAAAGTACCCGTGTTTGTACTTTTAAAAAAAACAAACTTGTGCACCAATATTAATATTAAATCTATTAGTATCTAGGGCAAAAGTGTTAATGCTAATAAAGACCTACAGAGAAGATATTACGATCATTATTTGTATGCATATAGCTTCAAATATAAGATAAAAATTAATAGAATTAGATACTATCACACTAGAAACTGGTGGATTAAGCAGTAACATTATTTAACAAAATTAGGTAACAAGACCTAATGGACCCACTTAATGATTGTATGAAATAAATAAAAGAATATTTATTATTCTCAAATTGGAGGCCTGATGCAGGAAATTCTTGCAAGAGGAGGCCTTCCTTCCCCTGGCTGCCAGCCCCAGCTTGGTTTGGAAGGACATCTGGGAGGATGTCCAGTCTAATGAGCAGATTACGCCTTTATTATAATAGATGTACAGAAAGCCACTGGGGAGGATGTGGCCGTTGTCTGGCCCAGAAGCTGAACCCAGGCCAGAACGGAGGTTGCTTTCTGCAAACCCCTTTAGAGACTGTCTGATCATAACTGGTGATCATCCCGACAGAAATCAACACCACGCTTTTCCTCCTGCTGTGTGCTGGCTCCTGAAATAGGTTATTGTCCTGACCTGGGCAAGCACGTAAAGTACTTTCCGTACCTGATACCATTCACGTACTCATACCCATGACTACCACCCCAATGACCCTTCACACCGTATAATTCTTGGTGCCTGCCACGCGGTGAGGGGATCCATTTCATCTTGTAGCTGCCCAAGACATGCCTCAGATGTAAGCTTTTCTTAAGAAACTCTATTAATTTCCAGGCCAGAGTGACCAGTCTCTTTCTTAAAGAGGTAGATTTTTAGTCTAGGGGCTTTTTAAGAACATCCATTCTTAAAAACTATTTCAGCCGTGATTAGTTTGGCTCAGTGATAGAGTGTCAGCCCGCGGACTCAAGGGTCCCAGGTTCGATTCCGGTCAAGGGCATGTACCTTGGTTGCAGGCACATCCCCAGTGGGAGGTGTGCAGGAGGTGGCTGATCGATGTTTCTTTCTCACTGATGTTTCTGACTCTCTATCCCTCTCCTTTCCTCTGTAAAAAATCAATAAAATATATATTTTTAAAAATACAGAAAACAATGAAATATACAATCAAGAAACAAAAGGACCAAATAGTTCTATAAAAGAATAGGAAAAAAACCCAAAAAAACAAATTAAAAAAACACCTCCTACTAATCAAGTAAAAAAGGGCAGAAGTAAATAATACTGGCAACATAAAGGAGTCATACCAGGTGAAGATGTTGAATGGTATCTTACTTAATAGACAAACATGTAAATGGACCATACCTCCATTACATCCACAGCCAATCATGAGTGAGTATGCAAACTAACAGGACAAAGATGGGGGTTAATTTGCACATGCATTCGTGGAGCGGCCAGGAGAGGTGGAAGCCTGCTATGAGGGGGAGGGGAGTGGTAGAGGGAGCTACAAAAGTGGTGCTCAGGCTGGGAGTGAGGACTTGCAGGCTCCCAGGCAGCCAGGAGCAAAGCCAGGGGCAGGAAGGCCTATTCTTGCATGAATATCGTGCAATGGGCCTCTAGTATTAAATGTTTTAAATAAATTTGAATCTAGCTGACATGGGTAATTTTATAGTAATGCTGCATTATCAGTATTAATTTAAGCTGGTAAAACTGGGCCACCAAATAAACTGAAAGAGCAATTGAGAATCTCCTCAATGTAAAGAGGAGCCATATTTGATCCACAGGTAAACTAAGTCTATAAAATGGCAGAATAGTTTAGATAAGGAATATTTGTAAAATTGGAATAGTACATTAGCTTTTGTATCAACAAGCAATATTGATATAATGTGATAACCATACAATTCCCCCTGAACCCATGATTACCATTTCTTGTATCATCCCCACTAAAATTTTTTAAAAAAATATATTTGATTTTTTACAGAGAGGAAGGGAGAGGAATAGAGAGTTGGAAACATCGATGAGAGAGAAACATCAATCAGATGCCTCCTGCACACCTTCTACTGGGGATGTGCCCACAACCAAGGTACATGCCCTTGACTGGAATCGAACCTGGGACCTCTCAATCCACAGGCTGACGCTCTATCCACTGAGCCAAACCGGTTTCGGCCCCACTAGAATTCCTAACTCATGGTCCGTCAAGTTCTACAGTACATGTCCCTTCCCACGAAGACTTCCGTGTCCCACGTCCTTCACTGTTTTCTGTGATCCTGTGACTCTGCCTTGCATCATGTGTTTGTGGGTATGCCCAATCCCCCAGCTGGCCTGCTGCCTGACTGTTGTGCCCCATTTGGAGGCCAGCAGAGTGCTTCCCCCCAGAATGTGTGATGGTATCTAATGCTGAGAAGATGTGTGACGGTTACCTCCTTCCCTATAGAAGGCAGCAATCATAGCGGTGACCTTCTAGAGGGCAAATGCAAAACAATGTCTGAGCCAAGTCTGTCTGTGCCGCAGGCAGCCCCACTTGGCACATTGGCACGATCGCAGAGCAAACAGGACGAGAGCTTCCCTGCGCTGCCTCTGGCTGGCTGGGTGCCCCTCTGGCCTCTCTTCACCCACAGCTCAGGTTTCATCCTTCTAAATATAAGGGGTCCCCGACACTGCACGGTGTCCCTGGGCCTTGTGGGGCAACGCAGTCTATCATGGATCACTACAAACTGTTTTAAACTATGCATTTTCTGAGAACACTTTAGAATCACACTTATTTTAAAAGAACAACTTGAAGAAAAGAAATAGGTAAGTGACTATAACACGGCTGTGTTCGTATTTTTTCTTTTACCTTTAGGTTAGGTTTATTTCAGACTACAATTATTTATTACGTGGTATTAAATTATGTTGTTTTGCAAAAAAAATATTCATGTGGAAAAAAGAAAAATGAAACTCCATGTTATTGACGTCAACCTCTCTTTCCCTGTCCCTGTTACTCAGACTGCTGTTCACAGACTCTGGTACTTGCTCACGGAAACAACGATGGCGTCGGTACCTTCTGTTGGTTGCCTCCTGGCCAAAAACCAGTATTATCGAAGTAAGTAATATCATCACTAGAGGACCCCTAAAGAGTATGGTACAAAGGGATGTCTGAAGGATATTAGTAACCCTGGTAATTTAAAGTAGAAGGAAGACTGATGTGACAGTGAAGGACATAGGAATAGATTTCATTGGAGACCTCTCCATATCAGTATTACCAAGGAAGGCTCATTTCTTTAACTATGTTATATTGTATTAATAAGGCCTCTAACACATAAATAAATGATCAGTTTACATTTCAAAATAATGTTTAATTTCAATACATTGCCTTTAATAGGATACATTAAAAACCAATAATTTTATAAAAATAAAATATTCATTTTTGTAGAAAAGAAGGGATATCAAAACTATGCTTCATGAATTTTCTAATTTCGACTTTGCTGCTATGGATAATAGGTTAGCATCTATCATGACAGTTTTATCTATCCATCTGTATTTATAGCTCAATAGAAAATTGTAGCTTCTTAAACTCAGAAGTTTCATTAAATAAAATAATGCACTTTAAAACCAACTTATCACCCTGGCTGGTTTGGCTCAGCTGGATAGAGCGTCAGCCTGCTGACTAAGGGGTTCCAGGTTCAATTCCAGTCAAGGACACATGCTTGGGTTGTGGGCTCGATCCCCAGCAGGGGGCGTGCAGGAGGCAACCAATCAATAATTCTATCATCATTGATGTTTCTTTCTCTCTCTTACTCTCTCTTCCTTATTGAAATCAATAAAAATATATTTAAAAAAACAACATCATTTATTGAAAATATGCCAGCAACATGTAAAACCCTCTTATTTCAAGATGCTTCTAACTCTGTGTTGGAAACATCTATTGATTTATCCTTTTCACATCAAGATTAAGTTAGGCTCATTTACTTATTGTTATTATAGTCACAGAAGTTATTTTTATATTCTGGTATTTTAAAAGACTTATGTTTCAAATACAACTATAACACAAGTAAACTTTGTATTTTTTAAAAGTAACTCCTTTATTTTTAAATATGATGGCCTTTGAATGCTATTTAAATATATACACATGTAATATTTTTAATGCAATAAAATAATACTCATTTTTTATTTTATATTTCCTAAAATTTTTAATTTTATAGCACTTAAAACATATTTTAAATTCTATATCTATATCTCTGGAAAGAGAATGTTTACCATTGAAAGAAATATATCATATTAGTAAAAAATGTAATAAGCTTTATTATTCTGGAAGACTTTGCAATTGCTAATTTACTTAATTTTTAAATTCATAAATGTATGAGCTAGAAGTAAATAATTTCAAACCATACTACTTGAAAGTTTAGAAATAAATACGTATTTGTTTGCTTGTTATATATTTGTTCATTCATTATTGTTTCTTTCGTAGAGCCCAGTATTTCTTCAGTTAGCTCTGACTCTGTTAATTTCATAGATGAAGACAAACACCTTCAAGGTATTTAGTTTATTTCTTATCAGCATCACCCTCATTATTTTTGTTTTGAATCTCTCAAAAATGTTGATAAGGTCCTAGCCAGTTTGGCTCAATGGATAGAGTATTGGACTGAGGAGTGAAGGGTCCTGGATTGGATTTCTGTTAAGGGCACACACCCGGGTTGTGGGCTCAATCCCCAGTAGAGGGTGTGCAGGAGGCAGCCATCAATGACTCTTCTTATCACTGATGTTTCTATCTCTCTCCCTCTCCCTTCTTCTCTGTCTGAAAATCAATAAAAATGTTTTTTATAAGGAAGTAATATAAATTTTATTTGACAGGCTTACCTGATATGGCAGAATCCACCTGGTGGCTTAAATCCTTTTTTCATTCTGAACCTGTGCTTTCAACTGAAATAAGAAAAGAACTGTTGGCTAGTGGGTAAGTCTCAGCCTTTTCTTACTAATAGTGAATGAAGCAATGCAGGTAGTAATTCTTAACCAATAAGATAAAATTGTTTCTTGAGGACAATGTAGGCTTTGGTATAAAGCATAATTGTGGGATAGAGAGGGACAATTGCTCCCTATTCTCGTTAATTAACCATAAGTCAGATCATGAGCACTTTCATTCTATCACTAAAGTGTGACTGAAAAGTCATATGTCAATTTTTATTATTATTTAGGAGGGATAGATTGGGAATCAGAGGCAAGGTTCTAAATGATTTTTTATTAATACCATTAGGAAACAAATCACAGTTATTTAGTTGCTGTCTTAAACAACCTAGGTTAGTCCCACTAGGTTTTTATAAGTATTTATTTTGTCTTTTAGACGAAGGCTGATACTAACACTGATGACCAGCCACTAAACTGCATTAAAATAATGACGACATTCATAGATTCTGATATTAAAATTGAAGAGTTTTGATTAATTTTCTAATATAATTTTTAAATAGAATCAATTAAGTATTGATACTTTTTAAAATCAAAGGAAGACAATTTTCAAAAAGATACATTCTTTACTCTATTAAGTGCATTGATTTGAATTATCTAGGTAAGTATTTTACTTACTTTCTACTTTAGTTGGACTATAAAGACAACTTACAGATAAGCATTGCTCAGCTAATCATCTTTGTACTGCAATTTAATGAACATAGTTGTAACAACTGTCTATTTTATACAGCACTACCTGTTGATTCTGACAATCAAAATGCCTACCTGCTGAGCTGCTACAAATGCGAACAACACCCTTCAGCTCTCAAGTTATTCCAGATAACTCTTTTCCATCGTAAAATCCATCTATGTTTCTAAAAATTTAATTATTTTCAATTAAAAAAATTTTAGACTCTTTGTTTGTTGAATTATTTATAATGCCTTAAAACGGAAGCATTGATACCTAATAAAATGGTTTAAAGGTCAATGGATTCGAATGTGTAGAAGAGTTGTAAAAATTTTATTTTTAATCATGAACATTGAAAATAGCAAACTACCCATAAATACATTACCTGTTTGATGCATTGCTATACATCTAACCAACTGTTCATTGTGTGGAATTTAAAATTCATAATTTTAGCAATATTTAACAACACAGAAAATTATGATAGAATGTTAAGTGAAAACTGTAGAATAATCTATATATGGATGATTTTTGTTATGTTAAAAATATATATGCATAAGACTGAAAGGCAATATAACAAAATAGTAATAGTGGCTATTTTGGGAGGTAGGATTATGGGTAGTTTTCATTTCCTTATTCATATATTTCTATAACTCTAATTTTCTAATATTAAAAAAGGTGCACTGGAATAAATTTTCTGAATGTAAATATATCCTATATTAGTTTGAGTATTTCCTACTTTCCTCAATATTGGGTGGATAATACATAAGCAGTTTCAATTTAAAAGTTTCTGTATGCTGCTTACAAATATTTTTCAATGTAAGGTAACAAATGATTAGAAATTAGGGATGATGAACTGACTCTGAGGTAGATAATCATATGGTGTTTCAAGGCAGATGTTGCATTAAACATTCCGTAAAGTATACATGACTGTTTATTATCCAACTGTCTTCTTATCCCATCACATAACCATGATAAACAGCAGACTATTTTCAGCAGTGGGCACTACTGACCACTTACTTCTCCTTCTAAATGGGAAATGCATTCCTTCAATTTGGTGACCATCTATCACTTTGCTGTCAATGAAGGAGACTCATATATCACTTTGGCCCAAGAGCATATCATTGTTTACACATCATTGGTTGTGGGGGGTTTTTCCTGCTTGTTTGCATTTATAAACTTTATACATTTGTAGAGGCCAGTTAAAGTTTTAGACTATATATTTCACTTGGCTTTAGTCTAACATCAAATTACATTAATTGAAGATTGACTAGCACTTATCACAATTATAATCTTACATCTGTTTGTCTAGCCACTTGTTTTCCCCACTGCACCACAAAATACCTGAGGGCAGGGTCTTATCTGTTCTCCACAGTTTATACCCAGATTCAGACACATCAACAAGTATTTGTCAAAGGAAGGACGATGGTTCTTTAGGGAGAACTGGCTCCTCTCTTAAGAAGTGTTACATTTCAGCCAAAACCGGTTTGGCTCAGTGGATAGCATAGGCCTGTTGGACTGAAAGGTCCCATGTTCGATTCCTGTCAAGGGCATGTACCTTGATTGCGAGCACATCCCCAGTGGGGGATGTGCAAGAGGCAGCTGATTGATGATTCTCTCTCATTGATGTTTCTCTCTATTCCTCTTTCTTCCTCTCTCTAAAAAATCAATAATATATATATATATATATATATATATATATATATATATTTTTTTTTTTTTTTAAAGAAGTGTTAACATTTCAGTAAAAAATTAGTAACTACTAAATTAATAAAGAAAATATTTTTCAAATAGTGATAATGCTGTAAAGCAAACAAAAGGTATTCTGCTGAAGAGTGATTGAGATAAGGACAGAGGTTGAGAGAAGGCTGCCTTCCTTGGTGTGGTTAGGAAAGACATCATTGAGAAGGTGACATGGGGACTGAGTCCTAAAAAAAAGGGAAGGAGCCAAATTTGTGAAAAGTACTCGAGGCAGATAAAATAGCCAGTGCCACTGCCATCACGGTTGTCAGGTGACAGCTGCTTTGAAAGAATTTGTCAGTCTGATCCGACTGGAAGGCATTTTAGAGACAAAACAGGCAGGTTTTAGGGAATAAAGAGGGTCCAAGCTCCAAAATGCTTAACATATTTTCACAGAGGATAGAGAAATGTCAACAGATACTGGGAAGAGGGAGACATACAATATTTTCACAGGAGATGGAGGAATGTTGCAAGATAAGGGGGGAGATAAAGAAGAGGGCACCATGTGGATTTTGGACTTCGAAACTGGTATCCTACAAAGGAGTGACCAATTAGGAAAGCACAGGGTCACAAAATGGGGAATGGGTCCAATTAGAAGGAAGCATAGACAAAAAACTTCCAGCCTTTAAAACCTTAGAAAATGGGGCTTAGTTGGTTAACCCCTTGGGAATTCCTCCCTATGTGGGAGTCTGTATTTGCTTCCAATAAATGTCCACCTTTTTACTAACAAGTCCATTTAGTCTGAGAATTTTATTCGTCAAACTTTGTGAGGCAAGAACCTGCAAGGGGGGAGATCTGCTCCCCACACCCCATGTTTCACAATGACTTATGCTTTTTGGACTGCCTTTATCATTTAGCATGACCTTCAAATTAGGCAACAGTGAACACTCTTCCAGAGTGTTTGGCGTGAATCAGGCTCTGTAAATATCTCTTTGAAAAGACACAGAATTTAAATCTCATTTAGCCAGCATTTCTGCTAAGAGGAATCATGTTGATTATTTAGGCTAAGGTTTTTTGTGGTTTTTTTGTGTGTGTTTTTTTGTTTTAGGATTTTTCACTTAACAGTTTCTGCCCTAATAATGGATTGGTTGCCAAGGTTTCTAATATTTTAATATTTTCAGCAAACTATTCATGTTAGTGGGATTTTAAAAAAAATATTCTATTTGAAAACCAGTTGGTTCTAGCCAATTTCTCATAATTACTGTGATCAAGATTATCAACCTATTTAGAGCATGAAGAACCTATAAATACTAGTTGTTACTTCAATGCCTGGTTATATACACAATCATGAATATCATCCTTGAACGAGAACAATGACAGCAAGAAAACATCACTTTATGGATCAAAGGACTGAGAGAGGTTCATTGAGGAATAAATATACAATGAGTATAATTTCCTTAGATGGGACATAATATTATAGAAATTGGAAATACCAAAATGGAGTATTTTCTCCAAAAGAAGCCTATTTTCTATGCAATGTCATATCTACAATTACACATATTTTGGAAAATAAATTATTTTGTCATTTAAACCAAAGCTTAGCATTCATCAGAATTGTCCAGAGGACTTGTTAATTTGGGGTGAAGCCTCACGAGTTTGTACTTCTAGTAAGTTGGATGCCTCTTGTCCCAGAAAAATTTTTTAGAACAATAGGTTTAAACAGAGTCTTTTACACTTTCCTCTGGATAGATATTTTAATGTTATCATAGAGCTCTTGATCCTTAATTTTGACAATACTGTTTAATATGTATAGTAATCATAAGTGGCAACAGAGGAACACAATACAAGGAGATATCTATATATCTCCATATATATAAAAAGCCCATGGCTGTAATGCCCACACAACCAGTCACCAGGAGGCGCACTGCTAGGTCCCACCTCCTGTGGTGGGTCTGGCACAGCGGGTTTGGGGACTCCAATTTCGCGCGCTGGGCTTCTAGTCTTGTAATAAATAAAAAGTGCTAATGGCTTTGGATAAAGGATGTAAGTTAGAAGGTTTCCTTTCACTTCTGTCATCTCTAAGACTGCTTTATATTTTCTCAATTTGTAAATTATATTGATATCACTTTTCTGGAATCTAGGGTCTTAAGCTTTCTCCTTCATTTTCAAATTCCAGTCCTATTCCAGAAAACATTACCTTATTCCTAACAAACTAAGTTTGTTTTTTAAAGTCAATAAGGAAATGCTGGTGTGTTGTTTTTGTTTTTCAAACAGAAAAGTAAGTACAGTGAAACAAATTCTCTTTGAGAAGGAAGTATTTGTTGTTGTTTTTCATGAGGGAGGGCAAGAGGTGATGGTCTTATAACTGTACTGACAATAACATAAGGAAATAAAATTGCTGAACAAAACAGTTCCATATTGATTAGAATTTAGTTCTGAGTTTCCCCTAGACATTGTAGGTCAAATGAAAGATATAAAGAAATTATTTCAGGCCTCACAGACCAGACTTGGTACTATAATCCATAATCAGATAACTAGATAATTTAAAATTAATCTGGGCAATACATGGACACCTCCAATTCTGAGGCTGAAGAAAACGTGCAACAACTCTACCATGCTTCTGGGAAATGTGAACTCCAAGGTTGGTGATAGTTTGTATGCATAATTTGATTTACTTTAATCAGCATGTGTTGAATGTGTTATGTAAATAATAGAACATTTCCACTTTACAAGGCTACTGCCTACACAGTATTCTATATTCCCGAAGCATTCACTTTGGGTATTTTCTGATTAATATTAAAATTAAGGAAATTTGGTAATGAAGAAGTTATTATAGCAAGTTGTATTAGTGCTGCTGCAAGGACTAGACTTGCTGCACCGATGGACCGATAATTACAGGAATAAATTGTCTGTGGGCTATCTAAATGAATCAAAATCTAAAGAAAACTCTAAGCGATTCTAGGTTATGGAATAATTTCCATTCAACAAATGCAAATTAACAACGTGGCAGACACTGTACTACCCTGTTTCCCCGAAAATAAGACAGTGTCTTATATTAATTTTCTCCCAAAGGTGCGCTAGGTCTTATTTTCAGGGGATGTTTTATCTTTCCATGTGCTAGGTCTTATTTTCGGAGGATGTCTTATTTTCGGGGAAACACGGTATGCACTGGAGAGCATCAGTGAACACAAGAAGCATGACCAGACTTTGTGGATTACAAATTAGGAGACACGCACTCACCAGAAGTAAATCATGCATGAAAGATGCTAAATGGAGGCATAATCATAAACGGTCAGAAGGTGGAGATGGGGTGGCCTCATGGGATGTGTCACTGGAAGATACATAGTCGATGGCTTTTTTGCTACTCAACTACTTCCACACAAGAACAGTACTTGGTCCTGTTTATTAACAAAATACTTATTAAAACAGTCTTATTAAAAATGATCTGTGGTCAACTTTAATGCTATAGAGGAAAAAGAGAAAAAAGCCTTAGAACTCTGAAAAATTGCTATAGCAGAATGGAGAAACGAAACACATTAAGAAATGAAGAAAACTGGGGAAAGGCTGCAGCGGTCCAGTTTAGCTGTTTTCCTCGTTTAACCATTTCTACTCATTGTGCTTATGGCAAGATATTTTCAAGGGCTAAAATGTCTGCTTGGAATAGCAGAAAGCTGCTAATTCTTATAATCCTAATAAAATTGTTATATGACCCGGTCACGGTTAGGAATGCCCTGGGACCAAGCAAAGAGACAAAGAATCCACAACCACCAGCTCTAATCCACAAGCTTTTGCAGTGAGCAGCAACTGTCTTGTTTGCAAGTGATTTTGTTATTTCAGCTTTGATGTAGCTTGCATGTGCTTTTAGGAATATATGAATTAAACACTTGCAAATAATCAACTACGGTGAGAATCAGGAACCTGGGCATCAAGAATGTGGTAACCAATTCTAATTTACCTTACACAACCCATGAAGTGCAGCTAGCCTATAATCACTAACACATCTGAAAATCAAAACCCAACAGTATGCAAGTAACGCAACCCTACTAAGCGGCACAAACACATTAGGGAATAGGAGAGCAGAATGCTGACCCCCAAGTTACAGTACTTTACGGGAAGACACCCTGCTTTCTATGCACACTACCACTCACTCTTCAAAGTACGAACAGCCCGTTTACTGACGAGGTTCACTGGCACAGCATTTTCCAGCTCTCCTGACACTGTCTTCATCCCTCTTCTCACCCTTCTGTCCCTCCTCCTCAAAAACTTTTCCTTCTGGTCACTGTCTATGGGATGTTTAAACAAGCTGCGAGAAACTTACTCGGTACACACCACCTTCATGGACCAGAGGTACTCCATTTATTGGGTGAACATACGTTAGCCGGGAGGCCAAAAGGGCCAAGCCAGAACCCGGGCCCAGTGGATACTTAGAAAAGCTGTGAAGCTGAGGCCACGCAGGAAGACGCGCAGCCAATGGGAGACACTTACTCAAGATAAAACTGAGAAAGATCCTTGTCTCTCCTATACAGACAGTCCTTGGGTTACATCAGACTCGACATAACGTTGTTTCGTGATTCCCTCGTCATCTCCCACATATATATATATATAAAAAAGAGTTCCCATCATTTTGAAGTATGTACATGTTTTTTATTATTGATGTTTTGTATTGTTGATGTTTTTTATTATTTACAAGTAAAGGTCAGGAATTATTCTTTCTTTTAAATGTTTTCTACTGTGTCACTTTATTACTGCTGAGTATGGGCTCCATGTGAGTGACGTAGATGCTTTCCCTAACCTGAGGACCTCGTGTATAATGAAAGGGTAATATACAAATTGACCGACCAGCGGAAAGACCGGTCACTATTACGTGCACTGACCACCAGGTGGCAGACGCTCAATGCAAGAGCTGCTCCCTGGTGGTCAGTGCAACTGGGCCTCTAATATTTAGATAAACTGGTAAACATTGCCAACCTGAGAAACATTCCAAGCTGGGAAGAATTTCTGTGAGTTTCTTCGAGCCAAACGGTGGACCACTGCCAGGAAGCACAATCTCAAGGGGTTGAGAGAATGGTCCAAAGGGTATCGCACCTTCCATCATGTACACATCACCATGGAGAGAGATGACCCAGGTGGATTACATCCAAGCCACTGGTGGGAGAGAGCAAAGCGGGAACACCTCTGCGATTGGATAAAAAGCAAAATACCAATAATAGAAACAGCCGAAACAGACTTGGCTCAGTGGACAGAGCTTCGGCCTGCAGACTGAAGGGTCCCGGGTTCGATTCCTGTCAAGGGCATGTACCTTGGTTGTGGGCACATCCCCAGTTGGGGGTGTGCAAGAGGCAGCTGATCAATGATTCTCTCTCATCCATGTTTCTAACTACTCTATCCCTCTCTCTCTTCCTCTCTGTAAAAAGTCAATAAAATATATATATATAAAAGAAACACATCTTTGACACAGGTGAGTACAGGCTAGCTAACAGTCCGCCATGAAGGAGATAAAACGATGAGAGGGTGGATGGTTTCCACGCCGGCGCATCAGTTGTGCCAGAGGACATGGGGAAAAGGGGAGTTATCAGACATCCCAAAGGAAAGTTATTGTGGATGCAAACCTCAGTAAGACGGGCTTAGCTACGGTAACGACGGAGCTTTGTCCGGGAAGAGTCTAGCCCAGGACCTAACTCCCCACAAGAAACAGCTTTTAGTTTAAAAGTTTTCCCTTCGCCATCCTGGGCGGTTCCTTTCGGGCAGCCGGGCCGCCAGGCACGCCTTCCCGGAGCCCGTCAGGCTTGGCCTGTGGCTCCCTCTCCGCTCCAGCCGTCACGGCGCTCACCCGCCCACAGACACCCGGCCGCCCGCCCGCTCCGCACCCGGGCGGCGTGAGGACGGACCTGCCCCACCGCGGGAGGGCGACCTCCTCCGTCCCCGCCGCGCCGCCGCCGCCGCCGCCGCCGCCGCCCCCGCGGACCACTCCGCCGGGAGCTCCGCACTTCCGGAACCCGCGAGGCTGCCCCTGCTCTCGCGAGATCTGTTCCCCGAGACCGCGCTGCCAGCCCCAGACCCCCCTCGCAAGGCCTCGCGTTGTTTGGGGTCTGAGGGGGCGTGGCGAGCGCCGAGGGGGCGTGGCCGGGATGGGGCGTCCCCGGGCCTTGTTGACATCGGCGCCCTCACCGCCGAGTGGCCGTCGGCGGCGCATGCCCAGGTCTCGGGGACGCGGCTCGGGAGTCCCGGGCGGACTGGCTTCCTCCGCGGCAGGTCCGGGCGCCGCCCCTCCGCGCGGCGGCGTTGGCGGCGGGGTTGGCGGCGGCGGCGGCGGGCGGCTGCCGCGGAGCTCGCGGGGTCCTGGTGCCGGAGCCTGCACGCCGCGGCGGCGGGCCGGACCGGCCGCCTCCGCCGCAGGTAACGCCGCTCCTCCCGGGGGCTCGGCCGCGCGGGTCGGCGTGTCCCGGGCGCCCGGTGCCGTGCGCGGCGGCGGCGGCGGAGCCGGGGCGGGGGAGGCGGGGAGGTCGGCGGCCGGGAGGTGCGGGGAGAGTGTCCGGAGGGGATCGGGGTGTCGGAGGGGCTGTGGGGTCCGGGGCGGTGGCCTCTGAGTGACCCGCTTCGGGACACACAGACCCCGGGACTCGGACCCCGCACCCCCGCGGGCCCTCCGCCGGGGCCTTTTCGGATCCGCCCCGTGACTTTCTGTTGTTTTGATTTGGAAGCGAGCGGATCCGGCCCGGGGAGCCGTGGGGGTTGGGGCCGGGACGGGATGTGAGGGCTGGGGCAGGCACTCACCTTTCCTTACTTTCCGTTTTTGTTTTGTCTTTGATTTTTGTTTTTGATTTTGATTGTTGGAGCGTTTGCTGCTGTTTGAAATCTGGTGCCCGTCCTTAGGGTGTTTGAAAGCCGGCGTGGAGAGAAGCCGTAAGGGGAAGAACCGGAGGGGGAGTAGTTATGCGAAATTCAAGATATTTTTAACTTGCAGTAGTATGTTTTTAAAAAATTGAGAAGTCAGATCCATCTTCTTTAAAATGACACAGGAGAATATGTGGGTACAGAGGAGAAAGTAGGGCTTTACCAAGAGTTAGTGTCTATCCTCCCCGCCCCCGATTATTATTGGCATTTTTTTTTTTTAAGTTACAGAAGTACTTCTACGTGCTTTGTAAGAAAAAAGAAAAAGTCAAGCAGCCAGACAATGAAGACATCGCTTCCCTCTCTCCCTGTCTTTACCTCCCTCTTCCCCGGAGTAACCAGACTTCAAGTGCATTGTGGAGCCATTCGGGGGGTTTTCCGTGCATATGATAAATATGTTTTAAAAATAAAACTGGGCACCTATATACTGCGTGGTTCTTAGTAGCCAACAATCCTCGCAGATATTCTGCCATTTTACCACATACTTCATTTTTTTTTACAAGTTGTATAGCTGTGTTTTTCTAATTGCTGCGTTTCCAATTTTTTCCCTAATCTTTAAAGTTTTTATTTTAAAGAAGAAACTGTAAACCAGTAGTTTGAATCGTGACGTGGTACAACTTTCAGAATGTCTAAGGCCAGATGGGGGATATTTACATATTAGGCAAGTTGAGGAGTAGGTTGCCACCGAGCTGAATGGCAGGTGTAGTTTGCATGAGGCTTGAATGACTTACCTTGATTTTGTTTGTTTGGTTTTGTGTGTGTGTGTGTGTGTGTGTGTGTGTGTGTGTGTGTTTTCCAAAGTAAATTTAAGTTTCTCCTACCGTAGTCAGTTGAAAACAAGTTTAATTCCTTCAACATGGACTGGCTCATGGGTGAAGAAGAGGTGAATTGGAAGGCCAGTGGCTCTGAAGTCTTATTTCAGGCAGGTTACAACAAAACAGAAACCTCACAAAAACAGCCGGGGATTAAATATTTTGTTTCTAGGGAGTAAGCCGTAAATGGAAGGATGATAACGACACTGCTTCCCATGACACAGAAAGCTAGGAGCTCCCCTATTACATTTTGTATTTCTCTGTGCAGACGAGCTGGAGATTTTCTTGATGCAATCACTGACTTGGGAGTTGATTAAAAATGTACTGTGTGCATCTTGGTGCTGGCCTTCAGAGAGAACACAGAACTGAGTAGGATGATCACAAAGAACAGGCTGGTTCCAGCCTGAACTCTTAGGCTCCTTGGTGTAGCGTTTTGGTTATTTGGGGAACTGTTTTTAAAAGGAACCAAAAATATCCATGACATTTCAGTTATTGTTGCTGGTAATACGTTCTTATATGTATTTTCCACAAAAGCATAGGCGGTATTTTCCACATTAGATTAAAAAAAAAAACAGGCTCTGAGAGACTAAACTGCTCAAGGTTCCATTGCCTTTTCTTTCTTTTTTTAAAAATATATTTTATTGATTTTTTTACAGAGAGGAAGGGAGAGAGATAGAGAGTTAGAAACATCGATGAGAGCAAGTCATTGATCAGCTGCCTCTTGTACGCCCCCCACCGGGGATGTGCCCACAACCAAGGTACATGCCCTTGACAGGAATCGAACCCGGGACCCTTCAGTCTGCAGGCCGACGCTCTACCCACTGAGCCAAATCGGTTTCGGCTCCATTGCCTGTTCAGTGGTGGTGGCTGCCTTAGACTTAGGCATACTTCAGCCAAGAACCTGTGTTCTCCCTCTGCCAAGCTGCTTCCTGTTCATGAAGATAATGAAGATTACCTTCCAAAGTTTCCTCCTTTTTTTTTTTTTGGTCGTAAATGTTCCTTACAAAACGGACTCATGGATAAGCTAGTAATAATACTCACTGAAAAAAAATAATAATAACCCAAAGGATAGTGTGAAATTCACATGATCTTTTTCGATGAGGTTTCTGGTGGTGTATTTGTAAAATATTAAATTCCTTGAGCTGATGCCATTAACCAAGACGAAGGCAGATTGTGTTACTTTTTTCTTTTTTCTTTTTTAAATATATTTTATTGATTTATTCACAGAGAGGAAGAGAGAGGGATAGAGAGTTAGAAACATCGATGAGAGAAAATCATCGATCAGCTGCCTCTTGCACACCTCCTATTGGAGATGTGCCTGCAACCAAGGTACATGCCCTTGACCGGAATCGAACCCGGGACCTTTCAGTCCGCAGGCCGATGCTCTATCCACTGAGCCAAACCGGTTCCGGCCAGATTGGGTTACTTTTAGTCACTTGGCTTGAGGCCCTGGCAAATTTTGGGTGTGATAGTAATTTGTATCTCGTACAGGTACTTTTGTTCCTTACTAAACATCATCGAGCCGAAACCAGTTTGGCTCAGTGGATAGAGCGTCGGCCTGCGGACTGAAAGGTCCCGGGTTCGATTCCGGTCAAGGGCATGTACCTTGGTTGTGGGCACATTCCCAGTAGGGGATGTGTGGGAGGCAGCTGATCGATGTTTCTCTCTCATGGATGTTTATAACTTTCTATCCCTCTCCCTTGCTCTCTGTAAAAAATCAATGAACTATATTAAAAAATAAAATAAAATAAACATCATGGGGGTTGAGATTGACTACCTTGTGCATACCCCCTACCGAGCCCACAACCTGGGCATGTGCCCTGACCGGGGATTGAATCAGTAACCTCTTGGTTCATGGTTCAAGGGTTAACCACTGGTCCACACTGGCTGAGCTAATCTCAGCCAGTGTGGATAATCTCATTGCATTTAGCCTTTTTTTTTTACGGACCCAATTGCACTCTTGGTAAAGTGTGAACTACTCCGATGAAAAGAAAACAAAGAGGGCCTTACAAATAATGTCTCAAAATGCATCATGACAGACAATAGAGGATGTGTCATAGTATTATGGATTATTGTTCCAGTTTTCCAGCAGGTGTGACAACTGTGTAGTTTAAAGATATATGGCAAATACTGAAGTTTAATAAAGTATGATCGGTGGTAATGTGTACCTGAGAAGAAAAAAATCCACATATAGGAAAATATTTGTTTTGTTATTCTTGGCATTTGCTAAGGATGGTAATTGGATTCACATCTAAATGGCATATCTGCCATCCTTTGTCTCTTGGAAAGCTTACCACTGGGTCTGAGTGGATTTTATATTTGTAGGACACAGAAATGTAAAGAGGTGTCCTTAGAATATTTTAAGATCTATTGACGTGGCTATTGGAGGGCAAGGAAACCAATGCTGTGTAAGTATATTTTCAGAAATTAATGAGAGGTTGTTAAGGCTGATGGGAAGAAATAAAAAGTTTATTTTGGGGACATGTAATCAGGAGTAGCCAAAAGAAGCATCAGGTATGATCTAGAGTGATGTTTTACCAGCTATTGTGATAGTTCATAAAGGACTTGTTTCTTGATGGTTCTCTTTTTAAGGAGAAACTGGTTAAGGTGAAGGAGAAGCTGAAAGACAGGGAGAAAAATCAAAATTGGCTGTCAAAATACACAAAAGGAGAGGATGGTTCTTCAAAAAATGGGTCGTCAATAGAGTCAAATGTGAGGAAGAATGCCAAGGAATATGAGAATTTAAACATCATAGATCTTTGAATTTTGATATACTGAAAAATAAGCTCATTATTACTGTGTTAGCTGAGTCTTGCTGGGGATTGAGTTTAACAATACTCATAAGCTCTGCTCTCACAGTTTCTTCTGTGCTTATGTGGATATGAAAGAATAAAACTGCCTATACTTCAGTGTCATTTTATTCCTTTTAGCAATATCAGGAAGCTCCGACAATATGGTCAGCTAAAATGCTCTCACACAGATTATATGAAAGTCTGCTTCCTAAAGATTCATGTGACTCGGCCAGTGTGCTTAGTGGTTGAGCCTTGACCCATGAACCAAGAGGTTACAGGTTTGATCCCCAGTCAGGGCACATACCCAGGTTGTGGGCCCAGTAGTGGGTATACACCCAGTAGCCAATCAGTGATGTTTATCTGTCATCCATGTTTCTATCCCTCTATCCCACTCCCTTCCTCCCTCTATAAAATCAATAAAACATTTTTTTAAAAGATCCATGTGAAGTTTTGGACTTATTTGAATCTGTCAAAGTTAATAGTTACCACCCAGGGTGGTAATTATGTATTTCTATTATGTCTATTTTTGCATCCTATGTTCTATTATAGTTTAGCCACTTATTAATTCTTGCTTTATTAAATAAAAATAGAATCCTTGCTGTTAGGAATTGGGAATGTTGTATATCTTGGTGATGTGATGGAGGAGACATCTGGGTGGTTTATTTTGGAGTGCTAAATGCAGGATTATACTGGAAGATGCTGGAATCCTAGTTGGCAGTTGAATTGGAAGGGGGTGGGGTGGGTGGGCACTGTGGTTGGTAGTAGCTCATGTGACCTGTTGTCTGCTCTGGGCAGACCTGCACGTGTTTGGAAGTTCTGTGCTGAGAAAGGACCCTGGCTATCTGGAAACTGGTCCCTGGGACTCCGTCCTGTATTAGTGTACTTAACATAGGAAACCTGTGCAGGGGAAAGACTAAGATCCCTTTGTATCTAGAAGGAAACGTCATGGCCTACGAGGTAATACATTTTCTGTGGTTATTTTTGTAATATTGTCTGTTCAAAGACATCATTAAAACTATGAAATAGCTCTGGCTGATGTGGCTCAGCTGGCGGCAGCATCCTCCCATACACCAAAAGGGGGATGGGTTTGCTTCCTCCATAGGGCGAATGTGGGAGGCGACCTGTCAGAGTTTCTCAGCATCAGTGTGTCTGTCTCTCCCCTCCCTCTCCCTCTCTCCCCCTCCCTCTGCCTTTCTGCCTCTCTCCCACCCCTCCCCCTTCCCTTCCTCTCTCTGAAATCAATAAAAAGTAATTTAAAAACAGCAACAAATAAATAAAGCTAAGCAGATTCTTCCTTCAGCAAACTTTCTCCATCTACATCCATTCCTTTTAGTTGCTTGGGTAATGGTTTTTTAACTGTGTGGTGTGACTCC